TAGATAATCTTAAAAACAAATTACACCAAAATTCCATTTTATGATAAAATTTAGAGGTGCGGCTTAATTGGATTGTTTAAGGTTGCAACCTTATAGAAAATAGGACTGTAGACACCACCTAGAAATTCTGGCTAAGGGAACTCCTAAAAATCTCGATTCTGGTCCTAAAGGACCACACAAACTTTATTAGATTGTAGGCAATTTAGACTCAATTTAATTAATCGAAAACTACCCAAATCCTATCCCATCTTGAAGTAGAGCTCAAGAGCTTTCAAACGATCCAAGAATCGCCTGAATCGGACCTACAGATAAAATGATATAAAAAATGTTAATTTGGTCCCTATGGGCTGATGACACAATCAACGCATCTGATGACGCAATAAACACGTTTTCTTTAATTAGATAAGGCTAAAACTTCAAGATAAATCCAAACAAATCTGAAAAAACTCCAAACAAATTAGGAAAAATCACCAATAGAGTTCCATAAATAATTCCTTCATAACCCAAAAGAAAGAGGTGAGAAACCGCAAAGAAATCTATTAGAAATTCTCGAAATTAGAAACATAACCCAAAAATACCAAAAATAGGAAAACCCTTAGAAAATTCCTAAAAATTTAGAAAAATCTCCAAAAATAAAAAAAATTTAGAAAAAATCTCAGAAGCCATATTCAACCTCTGAAGATCCCAAAACCTTTAGAAAACTAAGAAAATTCTTCTCCAATCCCAAGAAAAGCCTAGGTAGACCCTACCTAAAATTCTCAGCTTTTCCTTCTGCCTTAGGAACCCTAGATCTAGGTCAAAAGAACCTTAGATCTACCAATTTCAGCAAGCAAAGGCATCCAAAAAAGGAGATGGTGGCGTAAATCGGAAAAGCGGCTTGATCCAAGCCCAAAACTCCGGGGTTTCGGGTTTCTAGAGGTAAATATATCTTTCTTTTCTTATTTAACTTTGTTTTTCTTCATTTAATTATCTGTTTTATATTATTTTTTTCTGGAAATTAATTCATCATTAGGTTTAATTAAATTTAGAAGCGTTTTTTTGTCAAAATACGGATTTGGAGCTGGCGCTACTAATGGACTCAGGAAAAGACCGGATGTACATAGATATGGGATTTTTCTGAGTCTATAATTCAAGCGACCCCACTTTCTCTACCTTTTAAAAAAGTAACTCAGTTTTTTCTAAGATTTGAGCAGATCTCATCACAGAGATCGACGCAGATCAGAGTGTAAACAAGGAACCACACCCTATACAAAATTAAGCCTTTTTTTTTTTGTGAGGAATTACTATAGGTAAATGCCCATTGCAGGTATGAAGCACCGACTATAATGAACAAATAAATAGACATGGTGTTAACGTCCGACTTCCTTAGCGTCACAATCCTGGATTTCATAAATCAAGGACCTTATACTTTTGAAATCGGGATCCACTTTCCTCATGAGCGAGTTCCATAGATTATATGATCGGCGTCACAGCCTTTTTAGGATCTAGTTTCAAGAACGTCGGGATCGCAATCTTAAAATTATGGGAGCGAGGATCTAGTTTGTTCGGGAACCACATCTACAATGTTACGAAATGCGTTCCGTGAGACAATGGGAGCGAGATCCGTGAAGAAGAGGGAGTGAACTCCGTTGTGAATGGGATCGAGATCCGTGTATTAGTAGGAGCAAGCTCCTTTGTGAATGAGAGCGAGGTCCATGAAGTAGAGGAAGCGAGCTCCATTATGAATGGGAGTGAGATTCCTGATGTAGAGGGAGCGAGCTCTGTTGTGAATAGGATCGAGAATCCTAAAAAATGGAGCGAGATCTTGAAAAATTTGGCACGGCTTCCGAGCGAGATCCCGGCACCGGAACGCTAGAGTGAGATTCCGGAGCTGGAACACCACCCGATAACCATGTCAAAAACTTGTTGTGATCTTTCTCTCTCTAGTGAGGCATTGGTATCAATCTTAACTACACAACTGACATTGAAGACGGTGTATTAACCAAATATAGAGGTATTCAGAAAGTGGTAAATGGGTTTTCCCTCGACAGAAAACCTAGTTTTCCCATCACTATCCATGACGGTCTTTAGGGGTTTACACCTTAGCCTCTCTCATTGGTTCATCTTTCAAGACTCAGTATGAGAATGCGGAGTATGAGCATGCTCCGCATTCTCCTTTAAAAATGGGCACTGCATGAAAGTAGAAAAAAATTTATTGTACAGAAGATGGGCGAACTGACCTCGGCCAACTGGAAGCCAAGATTGGTAAAGGAGTAAAGGATCCTTGAGCGAACCTCCATCTTTTGAAGAGGGTCAACCTGCACTTCTTCTATGGAGAATGGTTTTTTTTGGATCCCATAAAACAATAATTTCATAGAGAGAGACATCAAATGAGAAGAAGAAAGAGAAACATGGGTCTAAAGAGAGAAACCATTGTTCATAAAATTGCTCGATCGAACTGCTAGCGGTGCGGTTAGATCAGAACCAGCCAGTGGCCAGTTCCGGTTTTGGACAGTTAGGGTGATGAACCAGTATTTTAAAAACAAAATTAAAAAAAATGTATATAAATTCTCAAAAACACAAGGAATTTGATTTTTAATACATTTTAAAGTATTCTTTACATTATAGTAAGGATTAAACAATGTTTTGGTCATTAATACTCACTTTTATATATTTTCCCATCTTTTTTAGAATTTTTTTGAAAATAGCCCTTGAAAAATATAAAATGGGTTAAATCCATTTTTTTCATTAATTTTCAACTTCATTTGAATTAGTTTTGTTTTAATCATTCTTTTTATGCTTTTCATATTTTAGTATATTTTTTTTTGTATTTTTTTTCAACACGTTTTTGGCCGCATAGAACTTTCCCGATTAGAGTTGTTTAATCGACTGGTTTACCGGTTAAGCCGATTAAACCGCTTCCAGGCCCATATCTAGTTAACCGTTTTGGTTTGATTTTGTGAACACTAGATGAATTTGCCTCTATTTACCTTTAACTTTGCATCTGGCAGCAAGGCTCCCCATCTTTTAGTTTCTTTCTCCTTCTTCCTTTCTTTTCACTAGGAAACTTGGTGGGATGGCCCCCAAGTTTGGAGGAGGATGGATTTTATAGCCAGGGGAGAGTGGGGCTTAACTAGAGCATCAATGGAGATGCGAGGGGAAGTACCTATTATTGGGGGCAAAGCAAGAAAGAACTGAGCAAGTTTTTGAGGGGGTAAATAAACGGTCCGATGTTTACAGGGGAAAAATTGGCAAAAAATAAAATAAAAACCATGGATGTGTCATTCCAGATAATAACGGGCTAGTTTTGGACCATACCATTATAACGGTAAAAAAACCCAATCCGTACGTAAATTTGCCTTAAAAAATGAAAGTACATAATGTAACACACAATTTGTTTTGAAACTTAAAAAATGCTAATTTTAGAAATTTTTAGTGATAACCAAAAATATATATTATAAGTTTATAATTAATAATTATACGTTGATAACCAAATCTTGTTTTTATCTATTAATTTATTTGCATTGTAAATTATTTAATGTATTATTTTTTCTTATAGTTGTAAATAAGACTTTTTAAATTAGATGATGTTATAAGACATTTTACATTTTTTCTTATTTGTATAGTAAAATAATTATGAAATATAAACCAAAAATTTCAATTTCAATATATAGTAAAGCAAATTAATAAATTTTTGATACTTTGATGTGATATTAATTTCACGTTATATGAAAAATATTTTTAATTATACAGACATCCATGCAAGAATACAAAGCCTCAGTGTTTACATATTTTTACAAAGTAGTGACAGTACATAATACATCACTCCTAATTTCTTTTAGAAAATAAATCAAAACTATTTTTTGAGATTTATAGTGATTGTTTGAAAATTATCTGGGACGAAACTTGCCGCCGATTCGACAAATTTTCCGCTCCACCAATCGGACATGGTTTTTAGGGTAGATGATCCAGGTCACCGATCCGTTTTCTTAGACCTTGAAGAAACCTAAAATAACCACTAGGGCAATTGAATTAGATGAGAGCAAATATACTCTGCTCCAGTGGGAGTATAATGTATACTACTCGCTCTGCCAGGAGACTTACTGGAGAGGAATTTTTTGAGTTAAAATTCTTGGAATCACCTAAGAATCACTAGATGGCTATTTTCAAAGAAAAAAAAATTAATATTTTGAATTTTTTAATACTTAGATCTTACCCTCTAAATATTGGATGGCGGCATTATTTTTTTCAAGTGCACTATTCTATGCGAGAGGCTAATTTCCCAAAATTGAAGTCCGAAAAGTCATGGACTTTTATCCCGAGGGAGTAAATGAGCAATATACCCCGTAGGAATCCTTGGGCATTAGATCATGTTCAAATATTTCGCCCATGTTCTAAGCAACGGGCTCGCCTTCCCTTGTGCTGCTGACTAAGCTCTCATGCCATTGAAATGAAGCTTGCATGCTTCCAATTTGCGGCCCCAGAAACACTATTAATTGAGTTTTCCTCGAGGAAGTACATAGACATTATGCTCCCGCGGAGCATTAAACGTTTGGCTGAAAAGAAAAGAATTTCTCTGAAGTTCCCGTCGGCGGTGAGCGCCGTCCGATGAATCCTTACGCGTTAGTATTAAAAGTTTTTGGGTGAGGATTTTATAAGGTTGCCTGCCTATACTGTTGAAGTAAGGCGTGTTTATTAAATTTATTTAGAAATATCGTTTCAGTCTCGAAAACGTTTTGATCTTCAAAATCTCTTTTTTTGTCAGCTATAAAATTTAAAATTTCAAAAATAATATGGATCAAGTAAATTAATAAATACTTAAAAATCTAAAAAATAGACGGTTTAGATACCTTGCTACCACTATTTTATCTTCGTGTCCAATCATATTAAGGTCGACAGCTTACTGTGGGAATTTTGAAGCGTACCGTATTTCAACAGTATAAACCTTTAGGTTATACTGTATGATTTTTTAAGTGTACCATCTTCAACAGTATAAAATTGCAAAAGTATATAACTGTTTTCCTAAACTTCTTCCCAATTTCATTGCAAACAGGAAACGAATCTCTCTGGTGATGATCTACAGGCGACGACTCTCAATTTCTAAAGCGACGACCCCTCCATCTTTCTCTCCCTGCGGTAACAAGGCGATTCTGATTCAATTAGGTTTCTTGTGAAATGGGGGGCTTCTGCTCTCTCATAGGTCCTTTGCAGAAGGTTTATATGCAACAATATTAGGCTTCTGTTGGGGAAATTCTTGAATCTAGTGTTCAAGGAATTGGAATTGGAGTAGTGGGGTTGTTGTTTGTTGGTTTTAAAAAGGGAAATGGAGAAGGTTAAGAATCTGTTGAAACCGAAACCCAACCCTCAACAGCTTCTCAGGGACTGGCAGCGACGCCTCAGGCAGGAGTGTCGCGGCATCGAGCGCCAAATCAGAGGTAATCTTTTATCGTTCTCTCCATATTGCGATTTATTTTGTTGTTATGAGGTTTTTATTAGGATGGGAAAAAGGTTGTCAATTGTGACTTTCGCGCCGATTATACTATATTGGTTTTCAAATGGATCTCTTCTTCCCTTGTTCCTAGATGTGGAGAGAGAAGAAAAGAATGTTCAGAAAGTAATCCGGGAGGCTGCGAAAAGAAATGATATGGTCTCTGCAAAGGTATGTCTATGATACAAAAATCTGAGTTGGGCTTTCTTTTTACTTCTTGTATTTTAGATCATCATAGGTTTGCCTTTACAATTCCTTTGTTTTTCTTGTTGGTTGTCATTCTTGTTTGTTTTGATTGTGTCTAGCTCTTGCTGTGCATTTTTTGTTCCTTTGATGGCTGGCTTTGACTTGGAAATTGATGTCTGTGTTGGTTTAGTTTAAATTTCTACAATTGAATTAATGTTCTCCCTTAGGATTGAATCCATTTATCTATTGCTTTGGAATCCGTTGATGTTCAGCTCTAATTTTGTACAGTTGAATTTGATTTGTTTTTTTTAGTAATGCTAGTCTGATTCACATGACAAGCCCACCCACTTTATGAGAAGAAAGTAGCGACTCAAGCAGTTGTTTGGTTTTGATGATTTAAGTGGGTTTGATTCATCAATGACTACATTCACAATCGCAATATTATTGAAGGCCTTTTAATTCATTGCACATCAGGTTCTCTAATTGGTCACCATTGGTTTTACTTCTGAGAATTTTCCATTTGCTTTCTGATTTCTTTTATTGTTATGTTGGTTATAGTTAAAACAGAGATTGTTCAATTTACATCTCCTTATCTATATAGCATTTCAAGTTATGAATGTGTGAGGATCCTTGTTTTGATGATTTCTTTGGGACAATCATTCCTGAAATTCTTCCTTTTCATGTATTTTAGGCACTTGCAAAGGAAATTGTTAGATCAAGGAGAGCTGTCAACCGTTTGTACGAAAATAAGGCACAACTGAATTCGATATCAATGCATTTGGGAGAAATTGTTGGTATGATCTGTTTTAATTGCATTACACTAAACTTTCTTCCATATGATCTTGCTTCAAGGCTCTTAAACAATGATTTGATGGTTAAATAAATCGATAGTGTTTGTATATGACTCATAGTTTTAATCAGTTCTTGAAGATAATTCTTTCTTAACTTGTTTTCAGGACATGAAAAACGCTAGATATATGGAGAATCTACATTTATATGTTTGGGACATATTTTAAAGAAATAGTATCAGCAGAGCCTTATCTAAGACTACTTCAAACTTGAATTGAATTGATCTTTATTTAGTGTAAAACATGTTCAAACGAGAATTGAATTGATCTTTATTTAGTGTAAAAAATGTTCATGTCCCATATGTACAAGACTCATATGGGTTTATTGCAGTATGCATCTTTACATGAAACGGCCAAGTGCAAATACCCCTCATCAAATGTGAAACTGAGATGCACAATGAAACACTCCTCAAAACTTGCTCATCCACAAATATGTTTGTTGAGTAAGCATGTGGATTGTTACTGAGTTAATGAGTTGATCTGCAACCTGTTATGATGATGCAACAAATGTCAGAGAAATTACAGCACTGGATAACCTTTCCCTGACTAAGCGACCTAATTGTCAATCTGTTACGATGAAGAAACATAAGGAGGAGAAATGACTTCAGTAACTAACTTCTCTTCAATAGAATGTCAATTTTACTTCCATCAGTTATGTCCTATCATGAAATTCTGGGCCAGATGAAATCAAAATCTCTAAAGTATTATCTCCATGGAGGGGAGGGTGAGACCAGATATGCACTCCAGGATCTAATAGAAGCAAGAGTCTATGCCAAGCCATCTTCTAGAAGTTGAATATGCAGCTCTGTATTTTGCACTTGCTGTGGTTTTGGAGACATCATCTTTTTTCTTACTGCCATGAAACAAGAGAATTCCCTAGAAATAGGCAACACCCTTTCATAGACCTCGCATCTTGACAACCTATGCAGTCTGTGTTAACAGATCCCGTCAGATGAAGATCTAGTGTAGCTCAAAAAACAATCCACACCTGCAGTCATACACAATGACCTAGATGACTTAAAAAACTAATTTACTATTTGAACTGCATGAGAGCTATCAGTTATTTGGATGGTTAGATAAACTAAACCGCTAACAATCATTGTGCAGTTGGCTCTACTATCAAATTACAATCATACGCTCTAACCTTAACATTATGTTCAAACAAAGTATCAACAGACTTATTGCTTGTCATATGTGATCTCAAGGCAAGATCTTTGTGAGTCATTTTGTTAAGATTGAGGACCTGGTATTTTACTCCCATAGAAAATAAGAATGAGGTCTCATTTCCTTCATCTAAAAATGTTGTTACCTGGATGAAATCATCAAAATAAGAAAAATTGTTGTTGACCTGAATGGCACTTAAAAAGAGAGGAGTCAATAACACCCAACTTAAACCTCCTTGGTCTGGCGACCAGCTCATGACAACTGGCCTGCTTAATATCCTTTTAAAAATTTTCATGTAGAATTCTATTAAATAAAACATGTTTAACATCAATATGTGATAAACACCAAGACACTGTAATATGATAGTACTTGCATACTTGTAAACTTAAGCCCGTGGCACTTTCCGTCCTACCTTGGTCCGTCACTATTCATAAGGGAGGCTAGTTTTGGTTATCCTGCTTATTCCCAAAAGGTTGTTGAAACCTGCTTTTCCTCTATTTCCGAGAAGAAGTGACTTCTTTGATATGACTGGCCACTTAAGATAACACTTTTTCAGGATTTCTCGTAAAGGTAAGCATAGCTATTGCTTTTAACACATGTTTAACAACATACACCATTTTATGAAATTTAGGGCCTTTGTGAAGAGAAAGCCATTCCAAAAATGGGGAAAAAGAAAAAGAAAAAATTCTCAACCTCTGTTTTAGTGTTTTACAACAAATTTTCAGTCATGTGCCCTAAATTCATTAACATTATTCAAATTCTCATCCAAGTTTGCTAGTGTACTTAGCCATACGGGCCATATCATGGACCATAGATTTTGACGATGCACAATTTTCACCCCAAAACTTTAAAAACATCCCATGCCAAGGTTCTTAGCATGAATGATTGAGAAAACATGGAATGCAAGCATGGTATTGAAATGGTACTCTACTGCCACTATGGAATTACTATGCACAATATGCTCCAAGTGTCTAATGTACACCCCCAGAATAGGAAAATATTAGAAATGATATATGCTCTGAAGCATTGAGTACATTATTCACTAGTGGATGCATTGGATTCAATGTCAAACTAGTGCCACATGACATGAAATATGGATTATGTAATATGAGTATTGAGATTATCGATCGTTATCAATCATTCTCCATCTATTTCTCTATACGTGCTCCCCTCCTTGTGTAATAGCGCCCTCTAAAGCCCTAAACTTTTCCTCAAATAATGTGATTACCCTAAATTAAATAAAATAAAATAATAATAACAAAATAAAATTGTAATAATAATAATTATTATTATTATTATAATAATAGTAATAATAATAATGGTAATAATAATAACAATCATGGATTATGTAATATGGAGTATTGAGATTATCAATCATTATCAATCATTCTCCATTTATTTCTCTATATGTGCTCCCCTCCTTGTGTAATTGCTCTGTCTAAAGCCTTAAACTTTTCCTCATATAATGTGATGACCCTAAATTAAAAAAAAATAAAAAAATAATAATAATAACAAAATAAAATTGTAATAATAATAATTATTATTATTAGTATAATAATAATAGTAATAATAATAATGGTAATAATAATAACAAAATAAATAAATAACAAATAAATAAATAACAAATAAATAAAAATAAAAATAATTATACGAATAAATAATTTTAAATGATGGTCCATGGTGTTAAAAATACGCCATGGGACTGTCTTTTTTTATTTAGCACGATTTTGAATCAAACAAAATTACTAAAACAACACAAGAGTGAGGTGTCCATCATTACACACTCATTAGTATGAAATGGCACAAAGTGGCATTAGGTGGCCATAAAGAATGAGAGGTGGCCCATAAAGAGTGATGAGGTGGCACAAAAGGGATGAAGTGGTTCATATTAAAAAAAGAAATAATGACACATGGAGGACATGTGTCAAAAATGGATTAACTTTCCCCACTGATAAATAACTTCCATTGGCCCTTAAGTAACCCCCATAATTGGTTTTCTCTCTCTTCTCTCAAATGTGAGCTTCTTCTCTTTCTATATAAGTTTTCTATCTCTCTTTTATTTGAATCATTCTCTCTCCCTCATCATATATTTCTCCTATGATATTAATGATGTTCTCATAATTCTATTATGATAAGTTATCATTCTTATGTATTATTATTACCTCATAATAATGTTATGATTTTAAGGATATTGTCATTCTCATATAATATTATAATCTCATAAAATATTATGATAATATTATGTTCTCTTTCTCTCTCTCTTATTTCAATCATTTTCTCTCTCTCCCTCATCATATTCTCATAATGGTACTCATAATTTTCTCATTCTCTCTCCCTCATCATACTCTCTTGATGATATTATGACTAATAATATTCTCATTATTATATTCTCATGATAATATTAAATAACTATTTTACAGGAAAACAAAGCCATTTGTGCTCAACACTTACAATAACTAAAATTCATACTGATAGATAGAAATAATACTGATAGACAGAAATAATATTGATAGACAGAAATACTAATTTTTAAATAACTGTTTTACAGGAAAATGAGATCACTTACGCATAAAACTTATAACATAAAAATGATGGACGAAATATCATAATTTTATTAAAAGTGGACTATTTTTCAGGGGAATGAGGTCACTTACCTTTACAAGTCACGAGATGGGTATATAGCTACTGCTGTCAGAGTACAACCGAGATTACTAGCGTTCAGCTAAAGATATAGGACAAGGGACCAAATGAGTTTATATGGGAAGAGTGAGTAATAAAAAAATATGTTCATATAAGAGAGAGAAATATTATTATCATTATGAGAAAATAATACTTTATGAAAATATTAATTATATAAACAATATTATTTTTATAAGAATACTATCATTATTCTTTTGAGAATAATGAGACTATCATTAAAATCATGATATCCTCATGAGACTATGATAATGAGAAATTGAGAATATTATTAATCATCATTTTATCATGAGAATTTTATTAATCATAATATCATTATGAAAATATGAGAATGAAAATATTATTAAAATCATAATATTATCATGAGAGTATGATAATGAGAACATTATTAAAAGCATAATATCATCATGAGGGTATAATAATGAGAACATTATTAAAAGCATAATATCATCATGAGAGTATAATAATGAGATTATTATTAATCATAATATCATCAAGAGATGATGAGGGAGAGCGAAAATAATTGAAATGAGAGAATGAGACAATTATGAGTATCAGTATGAGAATATGATGAGGGAGAGAGAGAAAATGATTGAAAAAGAGAGAGAAAGAAAACGTAATATTATCATAATATTTCATGAGATAATAATATGATTATAAGAATGGGAATATCCTTAAAATCATAACATTAAATAATAACATATAAGAATGATAATATTATCATAATAGAATTATGAGAACATCATTAATATCATATGAGAAAGCTATGATGAGGGAGAGAGAGAATTATGATTGTTAATAATTATGAGAGAGTTAGTAATAAAAATGAATAAGAGAGAGAGGGGACCTACGTAGAGAGATAGTTGACAAATTTTTTTTTTTTGATGAGCGTGATGATTAGCTCATGAGGGGAGGGGACTTTTTTAAAGTGAGGGAGAATATTTCTCCTTGTGACACATGTTCAACTATGTGTCCTACCTTTTGTTTAGTTGTCACTTGTATATGTGACACATCACCACCCTCAAGACACCTCACTACTATATAATGACACCTCATTAATCATTATCTCCTCATAATGACAACTC